ATTTCAAACATCTTAGTCCTGCTTTGTTTTTCCCTTCCCTCTCCATGTGGGTACTCAGTGACCTGGGAAACACTTACACGGGCTAGAAAACACTCAAAAGACAATCTTTTCAAATTGCAAAGAGGCATGACTGCATTTCTCTGCAAAGCTGGATTTGGATATATTCAACTTGGGGCCCAGGAGGAAGCCCCCACACCATACTTAAAATAATAGCACATGAGCTGGTTCATTAGCTTCCATTCCCCCAGAATCTGCTCGCTCTGGGTCCAACAACTTTCCCTGAATTACCTTCCCCCTTGAATTACTTACACCCAAGAACACATCAGATTAGATTCATCCTTTGCTGCCATTGAGATTCTGTAGTATCTTTTCCTCCAATATTTTTTAAATTTATTTTTAAATTTTTACTACGAAAACTTTCGCAGGCACACGGGTAGTGAGGTAAAAACCGAATGCCCAGCGCCCATCATACAGCGCCACAACCAGCAACTCCCCTTTCATTTCACCCCACCCCCGCCCCATCTTGTCTGCAGCATGTTGATTATTAAAAGCAAACCCCAGAGATCATATCATTCCACCCGTAATTACTGCAGGAGGTACCTCTAACACAGGGTTTCTCAGCTGTGGCACCACTGACATTTGGAATGGGAGAATGCTCTGTTGTGGGGGGCTGTCACGTGTGTTGTAGAGGGTTAGCAGTATCCGTGACCCAGGGACAAGGGAAGGAGGGGGAGGGTGGAAGAAAAGGGTTACAAAGGGGCATGAAGAAGCTTCAGGGGTGACGGATATGTTCATTATCTTCAGCGTGGTGATGGTTTCACAGGGTATACATATGCCAAACTTAAGCTAAACACTTAAAACACATGTACTTAATTGTGTGCCTACTATTCCCCAATAAAGCTATCTCCAACCATTGTCCCCAATCCTTTCCTGGTCTAGGAAGCTTTCACCCAGGCTCCTTCACCCCATGAGGTAGAAGCGTCGAATAAACACATCTAGTCTCACCTTTTAACTCACTCCTCCCCCAAGGAAGGAGGAGCTGGACAGTCATCGGGCTATGTTTTATTAGGATATAGGGTCGCTGCGCTGGGAAAGCGAGAACCGGGCTTAACCGTCCTGTCTCACTGCCTGTGCCCAGGCGTGGCAGACACTCCAGCGCCACTCTTGTCCTCTTTGTACGCATCAGGCCCACCGCGGCAGCCTCCCTGCCCCCGAGGGAAGGCCAGTCATAGTTCTCTGTGTCACTGTTCTCTGTTTCGTAGGAGAGGGGAACTTAACAGACACCTGCATCAAAGGTTATTGAGTACTTGCCTTGCCGAATCTGGTCCCTATCTGGCTATCGATTCTGTGTGTTCTTTGTCAGTCAGAAGTTTGAGGGATGGGAAGGGTGGTTCTTAGAACCCAAAGTGTCAGGGATCAGCAGAGTTGGCCAGTTATTTTCTCTTAAGTAAGGTACTGAAAATTATTTTCAAACCCTCAGGCATGAACAACCTGGACCTCCTATTCTTTTCCAGGCTTTAATCTATTTTTTGACTCCTGCCAACCTCCCTCTTTAATTCTATCCAAACATTGCCCTCAGAATATGTACCTAAATGCAATCACCACACTTCACAGAACTGACCAGAATGTTGGCTCCTGAATATAGTCCCAGATGTTTAATATAATTTTGAATCTTTGGCCAAATCATTTCCATGGTTGCTTGGTTGTGGAAGGTCTTCTGGCAAGTGAGAATTGAAGGGCTGTGGACTCCAATTTATGGGCTCTCTCTACAAACCTATTTTCGGTTCCCCCTCTTCTCCCAGGAAAGGCACTAATTTACTGCATTTAGTACCACACTGAAATTTAGCAGTGCACTGTTGGCTTACACTACGAGGCACTGTAGAAGGAACCCTAGGAAATCTCCAGGGCACGTGTTGGAGGGTCGTGGCCCGCCACGTCCTAAGGGGCCTCCTTTATGGAGAAGCCAATGATGAAATTCCTCAAGGCTCAGTATCCTGGAAATCAAGTCTTTTCTGAGCAAACCATTCTGGATTTTTTTTCTCATGGAACTGAGCTTCTGTAGCTGTTCATGTTCTGTTTTGCTTTGGCCACTAGAAGGCTGACAGTCCCAAATCTGTCTTCTAGCAACTTGACAGGAACTTGTTCGTTTTCATCTTTAGCTCTGACTTTACTTCCTTATCTTGATATTCCCGCCACCCAGATATCTACATTTATTTATTTTTATTCTTCTAATTCAGCAATTATAGCTAAAATAAGCTGTTTCCATTTATCTTGGAATAAAGTAAAATGTTACATATGTTTAACATCTCTGGATGTAGCTTCTAAATTCAGACTAGAGGGGGGAAATCCTATAATTCTAATTCATAAGCATTTAGCTCCTTTTAGTCTATTTTCTCCTGTCAATGACTTACTCTCTAAAAACAGAACAGCCCCCAAGAGACACATCAATATTCACCTGTTTATCCCATAAGACTATAAGAGCTACTGACTCTATATCTTCATTAAATTTTTTAAAGCAAACATATTTTGTCCTGATCAGTGTGGCTCAGAAAGTTGAGCATCATCCCCGCTAAGTGAAAGGTGGCCAGTTAATTCCCGATCAGGGCAGGTTCAGTGCTCGGTCAGGGTGTGTCTGAGAGGCAACCAATGGATGTTTCCCTCTCACATTGATGTGTCTCTCCCTCTTTCTCTTTCTCTCTCCCCCCACCCTTCATCTCTCTCTAAAATCTATAAGCATATCCTCAGGTGAGGAATAAAAATAAATTTTTTTAAGTCAAACACATAGAGGCAGAGAGTAGAACATTGGTTACCAGGGGTGGAGAGGTGGGAAAAATGGGGAGATGTTCCTCAGAGGGTACAGCACAATGACTACAGTTAAAAACACTAGACTGAATTCTGGAAATTTGCTAAGAAACTAGATTTCAGGTTCTCATCAGAACAACAAAAAAAAGGTAAACCCTGACAAGTGTGGCTCAGTTGATTGTGTGTCATCCCACAAAGCAAACAGACGCTGGATCCATTTCAGTCAGGGAACATGCCTAGGTTATTGGGGGGCACATGTGAGAGGCAACTGATAGGTGTTTCTCTCCCACATCACTGTTTCTCTCTCTCTTTCTCCCTCCTTTCTCCTCTAAAATAAGTAAATAAAATTTTTTTTAAAAATAGAAGAAAAATGTTAACTGTGTGAGGAGATGGATATATTAATTAGCTTGACTACAGTAATAATTTCACCATGTATATGTACATCAAATGATCATGCTATACACCTTAAATATAACAATTTTTACTTTTAGAAATAAATTTTTTTAAAAATCAGGATTCAGCTGGATGAAGAGAATTCCCTTGTACAAATGCAGGGGAAGGGAGGGAGAACATGTGCTACAGGTAAGGAAAGACTAAGAGAGCCACAAAGGCACGGTGAGTCAAGTCCCGCAGCAAGAAGTGTGAAGATGACCAAGACTTAGTAATCCATCGCAGGGTCATCTCCTCCCAAAGATAATCGTGACCTTCAAAAATGGGCCTCACGATAAACAGCATGGGCCACGTTCTACACTGGCACGCATCCTCCACAGGCACTACATAATTTACAGAAGAGAGGTTACACTACTTGTAAACTCAATAAGCCTAAAACCTATAAATAGCCTGAAAGGAAAAGATTAGAACAAAATCTGAGAATTCTGACACAATACAAAAAAGTCAAGATTTACCAAAACACAAAATAAAGTTACTCAGGTAATGAATCACCATTCACTGACTAATCTGAGTGGAGATATATTGTTAGGAATAATCAGTAAGTGTGTGCATAAAAAAAAATTAGCCGCTTATTCAAAAGTATAACAGAGATAAAGAGGCAAGGCAAGAAAAGATTAAGTGTTTGAACAGCAAGTAAAAGAAAATGTATTAAGTCTTTCTAAAACTAAAATAGACTGCACTGAAAATATATTGCTGATTAAGAACTTGGAACCTTGGAAGTTTGGGGGCATTGATGCCTAAAGATTAGAAGAATAAAGCAATGTGGCTACAAGAAGAAAACAACTGCCAAGAACAGATTTATGGAAACGCAGCCTACTTAAATTCTTTGTCAGGAGGCTAGAGAAACCATCAAAATGACTTTTAACTGGACAATACTGGATCTCAACCCAACTCACCTATTCCAGCTGAAGGTGCAAGGTGTGATCATTACAACATGCTTCCAACTAGAAGCTTCATTTTGACACCTAGAAGTGGGTTCCATTTTCCCACCTCCCCTCATCAGCAAAATCAAAACACAGCTCAAACAGGTCAAATGCTTTCCTACGGGCTCTAAACTATGCTAATCATTGGGTCAGATCACTAGAGCACTTTCAATCAAGAACACATCCAAGCATAGAATGAACAAAGGTTCAAAAAAATTACCAATTCATTAAAAAAAAAAAGCTTTTTGGTTTTGTTAACAAGAAATCAGGTCTTTGTTTTTAGTGAATGGATTTGCACTAATTGATTACAAAGCAATGTATGAATGAAACCACTGTGTGCATAAAGATTTTACATACTTGTGAGCAAAGACAAAAATTTTAGAGGGAAACCAATGAACACACAAAGCATTTACGGTTTTCCTGCAGGCTTGGCCATTGGCAGAGCAACCTGGGTACTTTGCCTAGTCTCTGAATCTTTTTCCTAACCTGTGAATGAAATATCTAGGTCTACTTTTCCTCTGGGAAGAAACTCTATCAAACCAAGTGACCACCTTCAGACTCCATCTCTCTAACTTACTGCAGGATATTCTCGAGCCGCATCAACACAGAGTTTGATAAATGACCCAGTTCTATGCAAACAATTTTAAAATAGAATTACTACTATAAAACAGCTACACTACATCATTAGCCTTTTCTATCCTGTAGATAATTAAAGCCCTTATTTTTACAATTTATACCAGCTTCTGTGGGCCACAATAATTTCAGCTCATTCTCAAGTGTTTCTTAATCCCAACACCGGAATTGAAGGAACATGGCTCTACTTACAGTTACGAATGTTATTCCAGTCGATTTTTGAGAAAAACGGATGGCAGCAAAGGCCTTCAAACTTCAGTCTCTCTTTCTGGCCACACAACAAACTTTGAATCAGATCCAGTAATTCGCTGCTAACTTTGGGGTCATCTGGAAACTTCAAAAAACGCTATTCCAAAAAATAAAATAATTATTTCCTTAGCAAATTCAGCTTCACATGTCCCAAAGTTAAGTAAGTATACCTCATATATTTCTTTTTTTCTTTTTTTAAATTAAAGAAGGAAGTTTTGTGCTCTCTTCACTTTGGACCAAAGGCATGCTCCCAAAATAAAGGGGCTGTTCACATCAATAGGCCTAGTTCCTTTGCAAGGGTTCAATACTGTTCACGACTTGACCCCTGTTCTTCTCCCATTTCATCTGGCTACACTCCCCATCTCGCTCTTTGCTGTCCAACAATGATGAGCTATTTAAAGCTTCCAGAACAAATCACACTGTTCTGTCTGCCTAGAACACCCTCCTCGAACCGAGCCCTTCTTCCCTGCCTACCTCTTCCACCCGATCACTCCCTCCCACGTCCTCCCTCTGTACTCTGCTTTTGCACACACACAATGCATTCTTTTTTCTGTGTGACGATGAGGAAGGCAGAGATCCTTCTCCTCCTTGCTCATCATTGTAAACCTAGTACCTAACAGTGCCGAGTGCAATCCACTCATTGCTAAGTGTGTGGATTGAAATGAAGAAAGTAAATCAGCCCCAAGAATCATCTAAGGGGAAACTTTAACTCAAGAGGAGACTCAAGAATAACAACATATGTATGTATTAAGCATATAAAATATTTATTATAAAACATATAAACATATAAAACATATAAAAATATGTTTTAAGTATTTCGGAAAGATGAAATTGGGTAAGATACAAAAACCTGTGAAATAAGTGTTTTCCTTTTGGTTGAAACTAAAACACATATATTTATAAGAAATGGGCTTAATATAGTAGAAAGTCAGGTATTAGAAAATAATTTTAAATTCTACTTTATATATATTACTATATTTCTAACTCATGTCCTCAGTCATTTTGGATAGCCATTAGCACTAAGAAGCAATATATGGCATAATTTCAAGAGCATGGACTGCAAAACCAGACGGCCTGTGTTATTTTGGACAAGTTACTTTACTACTCTGAGCTTTGGTTTCCTCATCATTAAATGAAAATAGTAATATCTACCTCACAGGGTTATCAGAATTTTCCAAGTTAATAGACTACATTTCATCAATTCTATGATTCACATTTATTCATACTTAACAGTATTGAAATCAAAATGCATTTTATAATCAATCAAATATCATAGATTAATTGGCAGCAGGTTTTCTTATGTAATGGTATACAAAATAATGACATCGGCTTACAATTAATTACTGATGGCTGAAAGTCAATAAAATATAATTAATAAAGTGTTTAGAACAGCTTTTGGTGCACAATAAGTGTTATATAAGTATGTGCTATTGTTCTTAACCAGTACGGCGGGTTTATACATTACAAACATTCATTCCACAATTTTTAAAAGACATTTCTCAATGTTACTTTAATATTTACTAATAGCTCTTTACCTGGAAATTCATGATGTTATTAAACGTTCTGGCTGATGTTCCCTCAGCGAACGGGGACCTTCCATAAACCATCTCATAAGCAATAACCCCCACTGACCACCAGTCACAGTCTAGGCTGTAGACGCCTTTTCCATCTCCATTTGTCACTGTCAGCACTTCCGGAGCCATGTAATCTGGAGTCCCAATCGGAAGTTTGGCATTCACCTGGAAACATAAATAAAATGAACACAACAAACTTCCAATTATTCTCAAACAGATTGCAAACAGCCACAGTTCAGATACCAGCTGATTTGCCACTGATTACTATTCTCCAAGGCACTTAAACCTCTGTCAAGTGGCACACTGTCAGGAAATGCAAATGATTTATTCATTTTATTTTTAAAGCATGTAATATAATCCAAAGGCAAAGATCAAAGAGTTGTTGATGATATATACCTTTTAGTGACACAATGAGAGGGGAATATATACGTGAAATGGAAGATATCTTTCCCAGTACATATTACTGAAATGATAGAACTTCTTTTATTTATGAAATAGCAAAATAATACATCCTAAAGATGAATCTATAAGGTCAACCTAAGAACTAGGAGCTAGCTGGCAACACAATATTACAAACGTGTTATATCTCAAGTTTAAATATTTGGGATCAACATTCTGACTTTGAGACATCCACATGGCAAGATATAAAAACTTGCAGCAGAGGTCAAATGGTAATAAGTTCATTTTCCTCGCCCCCAACTCCTGTTCCTTGGTTCCCTCCCCACCAGAGCCCTTGAATCCAATGGCCCAAGCACCTGACCTTGGCAAAGAAAGATTAGGACAATGTAGGATGTCTTTTTATAACACTAAATATATTCCATTTAAAGAACTATCCTGTCCTTTTTTTCTGAGAACTTGTCCTTCTGACTGCTTTAGTGTTTAAATGCCCTTTGTTTCTTGAAATGATACTCATGACAGAAATAGGTTTTCTGCCCTTCATCCCCACCCCTTCCGAGGCAATAAGCTGGCAATCCTTTTGTCTTCAAAATTGTTTTCAAGTTTTACTGAGCCACGAGATTTGAAGTCTAAGGATCACCTCTCCAACCTTCTTCCCCATAAAACAGAGAGGGCTTGATGGTAGTCATATATACTGTGTTGACCAGTTGTCCAATAACCCTCCATCTAAAAAGGCTTCTCTCACACTGGCAGCTACATGGCACAAAAGAATTTTCTTCCCATCAAAGGATGTTAAGTACCCCTGAGTACGCCAAGAGATTTTACGGGTAAGGCCACATGTCTTCAATGCTGGGCTTTATATCAAGAAAGGAAATTTGCTTTGCTTTGTTTTGCTGCAGGAACTGAGAGGAAAGCGAATGTTTAGAGAGGACACTAAGAGGTCTCCCTTCCCCAGTGAGGAAGACCTGAGCTCCTTCAGCCTGTAACTTCAATTTTGTCCATTCTTCTCCCCCAGAGACCCATTATGATAGGAAACACTCATTCTCCCTACTCCCTCTCTTTTCACCCCCTGCCTAGGACCCACCATAGGTTTTTCCAAAATGTAAACCCAGAAAGTGGTGAGATACTGTTATTCTTGACACCAGTGTCATCATTGCTTTGGGCAACAGGACTTCCACTGCAAGTACCCATTTGGGAAAGTTACATGGCCACACCAGGCAAGAAACCCACAGGCCTATGTTGATGGACAAAAGTGAAGAGAAAGGAAAAAATAGAGAGAGAACACCCTAAGCTAGAGGAATGGAAAGTAGCTTAAGTCAAGAGGAAGCCTTGATGCTGGGAAGGCTGAGCCCAGACTTCCGTCTTTTAACATGTGTGTAAATGTTAATGAGCTCAACACAAGGTTAGGATTAAACTCCAAGGTTTTGAGGGGGAAAAAACTTAATAGTGACAATGAGAAATATCTTTTAAGTATCAAAATAAGAAAGGAAACTCTATAATACCTTGATTTAACTAGGTATTGGTAATGTCACTGTATCATTGATTAAATGCTTATCTACCCTTTATGCTTGATTTACCTTGCAGAACCATTAGTACACAATCTTCAAATATGTGTCATTTGCATGGTGTTCAGTTTTATTTTCTCATCACACTCGGCTGTTTGAGACTATTCAGTTCTCCCTCTTTGTAGCTCATTTGGTTTGGTTACTTGTTCACAACCAAAGAGTTGAAAGGAACTTGGCTAGGTCACATTTATTAGCATGACCCAGAAAAGGGTATAAATTATCTATGCCCCATTTCCAAACTCATGGTTAGACTTATCAAAGAGAGTCAGATGACTCCCCAACTAAGTCTTCTCCATAAGAGGTATGTGATCATATACCTCTGTATCTCATCATTTTGTAAATTTTTTAAATTTTAAAGAAAAATACTCTCCAGCTTGTTTTGTGTACATCTCCTACTATAGTAATTAATAAGAATTGACAAAGACTTTTAATGACTACTAATTCTCATTAGCTGCTGACCTCTAAGCACACTAAACCCATTCAACATGTAACTTCACACATCTAATAAGGATTTTGCAAGATGCTTTCATTCTCTTCTGGGGGCAGTTCAAGCCAGCTAATATGAGTGAGATAAAAGAGGAATCCAGCCTTCCTGACAGGCCCCAGTTTTATGAACTTTAGTTCTTTTTCACTATATTGGCAGGGAAGAGAATACACCAGTTCAGGAGGAGACAGTAAGAAAATGACTAGGAGACAGAAGGTCAGTCATATTTAGAGAGAGAGAATTTTAAAAAAGAAACAAAAGGATTAATCTAACAGATTCTTTACAAACAGAAAGCATATGAGAAGGTAAGAACACCACTGCCTTCCTCTTCCCAAGCCGCATCCATAAAATGCTTAAACACAAAATTGCTTCAACCTGTCTTTTCCCATCTAGCTGCCCAGGGCACACACCTCTGCAGAAGCAGGGGGTAAGAAACTCTATGTTGTTCCACTTGTGGAAAAGGAATAAAATCTTTCCACTCCTACATTAATCTCAAAAAGGACTATCTCCTATGGGTTTCCAACTGCTAAATGGGGCTGATTTATAGTCTTTACCTATAATCTCCTTACAATTGTTTTCCTGAGAGCTGAATGAGACAGGTTGGGAATATTTGCTGTTTCCCATTCTTTGAGATTCTAATAAGGTGAAGTGGGTGACCTAAGTCACAGAGCATGTCAACGGCCCATCTCTGCTCAACACCCAAAGGTGTTAGTAAACACAGGCAGTGTGGTCCCCGTGTTCACTAAAAAATACTCCAAAGCAATATTCTGACTAGGAAGTTTGACATAAATCCAGTGGAAGATGGAAAACACAACAGATTTAAGATTCACAAATATCCAAAATATATAGATAATATTTGGGAGTGGCAGGGGAAAGGATTGATTTGGGGTGAGTAACATATAATAATTTTAGTCAGTGTGGGTTCAATTTTATATAGTATATTTTGAGTATAAAAAACATCTAGAACCTACTTTACACCTATAAAACATTCTATTTAAAGGAAACTCATTTTAAAACTACAACCACTGATGAAAAATACCAAAAAGGTATAATTCTACATCCAAACTTAATCTAGGTTGCAGTTTCTTGGTCTTCTATAATAAAAGGGCCTTTGCACTTAAAACAATGCTGAAAATTCCTTCTCTGCTGGTTATGTTCTCGGCCCTAGAAGCGGAAAGTTCTAGAGAAATTATTCTGTCTCCAAGGGGAGAGGAGGTTCAATACTCTCAAGCGTACAGGACTGAGTGCCACATCTTCTTGATCAAAATAACCAGGGGTTAAGATCGCTGAGCTGCAAATAAAACTGAGAGCCTCCAGAGTCTCCAGGAGGCTCCCCGCCTGGAGCAAAGGTTGCTACAATTAGAAGTGAAAAGGGCAGTTTGAAGTGCTGAAAAACAGTTATCAGAAATGAAAGAGTCCTGTCTCTCCACAAAGGGCTCTGAAAGGGAGAGGCTTCGGATGCAAAGACAGGGCCTCAGTCTCAGTTCCCAAGCAGTGACCTTGGATCCTAACCTAGCGTTTGTAGTAGGTTTTCCTACAGCAAACACATTGTTGCTAGCTCTCATTAACTAGATTTCTGATGCTTCTTAATCCATTGCAGTGGTTCTCAAACAGGGGTGATTTTGCCACCCAGGGAACACTTGGCAATGTCTGGAGACATTTTGGGTTGTCACAACTGGAGGGAAAGGTGTTTTGGCATTTACCTAGTGGAGAGAGGCCAGGCATGTGGCTAAACAACCTGTTAACACAAAGGACAGTCCCACAACAAAATGTCAGTGGTGCTAACTATGTTCCTAGATTCAATTTATTTCTAGATGCATGAGTTTTTAAGGTCATATATGCAATGTACAAGATTTTTAATCCTAGGTTATAAAACTTTTGTTTTATTTATTTTCTGGGCTTTATTCCACCATAAATTCAATACCTAAGTTTTCATGCCTGTTTCTGAATTGTACATAATTTTTTTAAAAAAATGCTTTGGTTCTATAATCTAATTCTTAATGTAATGATCAAGGACAATAGATTTTAAAGCATAATCTGAAATAACACCCACCTTTCCTCTAAAGAACTTGAGGAAAAAAAGGTAATTTTAAATATTGTCCTTTACACAAAGGACTTAACACTCACAGCAGGAGCATTTTGAAGAGCAGCTTCTCTAACCTTTTAATTTGTGCATTTTTACTAGAATCAGTATTTTCCAGAGAAAGAATAAAAGGCCAAATTCATAAGGACTTGTCTAAGTCACCAAGTGGTTCAGTTGTGAAATTAGTCTCAAAATCTAACTTGGTTTTCTTTTAGCCCTACCATTTTTTGCATAATTGACTTCTAAATTCACATTTTAATATGTATCAACTTTATTAGAAGATTTTTTAAAATATATTTTTACTTTGTCATCTTTTTCCTAAGGTATTCTCACTTTTGATCTCAATAGCTAGCCTCTTGACTTTCTTAGCATACAGAATATATTTTAATTTTTACCATAGTTCTAGGACTTAGAACTGACATTTTGAATACCTGGTTCTTAATGCTTAAGGAAGAATATTTAGTTCAAATTCTCTGATGATTAATTTAAATTTCACTGCATAGAAAATAGAGGATTTGAGATAAAGAAGATTGCATTTTGTCAAAATATTTTAAGGTTAAAAAAACATAATGTAACAGGAAGAAATCTATAACAGGCAAGGAAAATGAAGGGAAAAACAAACTAAGCATTTTCCTTTCTTTTTAACTGAACTATAAGAATGTTCCTAAAAATGTCTTGTGGGGTATAAACGAGTAGTATAACATAAAAGGGTGCCAAGGTCAAGTCAGTCTGGGAAACAGCCCAGTGTCCCCATCTCCATTCATCCTCCTGGAGAAGTAATTTCATACCCTGCCAGACAAAGGCAGCAGAATGTCACTCAGTTTTATCCCAGCATTTCCCAAACTTATAAGGATCGCAGACCACTATCTTATTGCATTTTGTTACCATCCTATTTGAGTTCATTTTAGCAGCTGATCCAAAATCCACTAGCTTGATGTGTCCCGTTCGATCAATGAGGATGTTCTCAGGCTTGAGGTCTCTGTATGAAAATCAGGGCACAAATTAGTGTTGTCTTCTCCATGCCAATCAGCAAGTACTTTCTAATGTAGGATATTGATACAGCCCAGAATCTTCATCTGTATTTTGCTATACAGACCTCCCTACTGATGGATTGATGGATAGAAAAAACAAGCATATATTCTACAAAACAAATTGAAGAGGAGGAGGAGGATTCCTGTGACTTCTGGTCTGACCATCACTCCATTTTCAAAACATTCTCAGGTGTACATAAAACATCAGATGAATGAGGATGCATAGACACACTTTTTGAATGAGGATTTTGTGGAACACATTTGTAAACTTTTAACAAGTGAGGCCAGAAGTACAACTCCATAGTGTTCTCTTCCTACATGGTATGTCAGTTCCTTCCGCAAATCAAATTCTGTTTTTTTACCATATAACCCAAAGAACTCACCTAAGACTTTCTGGTCTTATTAACTATGTCTACAGATCTTACTAGCAAACTTGAGAATGTTACAATTCTAAATCTATTTCACCATTAAATGGATAAGCTGAAATGTGTGCCACTTTGGAGAATTTAGTTTCAGCCAGTTAAGACTGGCTAAAAATTGGATGAAGTGTTGTTTTGATGCTAAAATCATTCATCCATTCATTCTATTGTTGGAACTCTTAGGTGATACAGATAAATTCTCAGTATACTACCAGGGAGTCTCACTTACCGATGTACATATCCCATCTGATGAACACTGTGAACAGCCAAAATCAGTTCAGCTAGGTAAAACTGCATCATATTTTCATCTAATTGGTCCTCATATCTATTCAAAAGTGACAGCAAGTCCCCTCCAGGCTGATATTCCATGACCTGTATAGAATACCAAAGTTATTAATTCCTCATACACCCCAAAGAGGAAATGTCTCAATTAGCTCCTCAAATCCTGCCTGACGTGTTATAATTACAATGTCTCCACAAAGCAATGAAGATGTGTGAAACATACTGTAAGTCATGTAGAAAGAGGTCCCTGCCCTAAGGAAATCACATCCATTCCCCAAGAGAATCAATATAATGAAAGACTAGTACCAGACACCATGCACAATGTTTGCAAGGCAAGCTTGAGAAGTTGAATTAAATCCACCCACTCGCCCACCCACCCACACTGACACCCCAGACGTTCCCTAGGATTAGGTACACAGACTAGATGGGAATTCCTAGAGGGCACCAAACCCTCTTGTACACTTTTTCATTCCCCTCAGCAACCAGCAGAATACAGAGGCATGCAATAAATGTGATACAATCTCTGCCTTTACCAGTCAGTCAGGGTAGAAGGTAATCTGACTCTCTATTCAATATTTAAATATGAACATATATTGTCTGGCCTTGTAATTCCACTTCTGACTACTTATTTTACAGGAACTTGTAATGGTTTGTAGATAGACAGATAAATAGATTCACCACAGCATTGTTTGTAACACAGAAAAAAATAAACCTGGAAATGACCCAAATACCCATCATTAAGAAGCTGTGAAAATATGATACATCTAAACAATGGGATAAATGCATATATTAAAAATGAGTGGAGTCGATCTATTCATACTGCCATGGAACACTATCCATGATAATTTAAAGTGACATTTTATTCAGGATAAAGCACAGACCCTTTATTGTGATTTTAAAAAAACAAATTATTACATTTGTTAGCATATACATAGGGAAAAAAATCTAGAAAAAGATAGTAAAGTAAAATGTTTGATTAGCAAAAAATTGCCTCCATATCAGGGAGCCCTCACAATACACAGCCTGGCACCAAGGTCCTCCTCACCTTTCACATCCTTTCACTCTGGGATGTGACTTCTATCCATCCTCCTCTGAGCTCCTGTTGGCTTTTAGTCCAGAATTAAAAGAATGCTCTCTAGCCAAGTCAAACAAGGAACGTCTTGTACATATTCCCAGAGGCCTCTGGCTAGTCCAGCACGGACCCTGCCCGGCACCAAGCCAGCCCCACAGCAGAGCCCCCCTGGAGGAATCACCAACTTGCCTATCCCCTGTGAGGGCTCCTCATCGCCTGGGAGTCTCCCCCATTCACATGGTACTTACACATAGTAGATACACAACCAGATACTGGAATGGGCAAGTGGAACCTTAATCTTCAAATAGTAATTGTACACTGCCATTGCTGAAAAAACATTGGATTTATGAACTGACAAGAACGGGAACACTTAAAAGGGGAGACAGCTTAAATGTAGACTTTGTTTCCCCCAAATTCACAGCAGACATAAGCTACTTGTCCCCATGCCAGAGGAGCCACCTAGCAGCCGGGAGCTCACCCACTCATCCCAATGCGGCTCTCCATAGGCCCTAGACATGTGGGTGAATGCTAACTTCTACGTCTGTTTTAAATATATACTGCCATTAAAAAGGTCTTAAACATCCCCCAAAATTCACAGAAATAACAGAAATACTCACACTTTTAGAATGGAAGTGTCTTAAAATAAGAACAATGCATATTTATGATGACAGAGTACAGTTATAAAATTTCTAATCTGGCTCTCTTAAAGATATGAAAAATAGAGCAGCTTTTAAGTGTAAAGATGAGAAAAATCAAATACATGGCAGCCACTGGCAACTTTTAAGAACTCATAGACTGACCACTATTTAGTACTTAAGAGCTACTTCTGAAGAGTCTATTTGTAATAACCAGTAAAACTAAGAATCATCTGTTAGAAAGGCAAAAAGATATGCATGTTATTCAAAAAATAAAATTTTCTGAGCTGGAAATCCCCACCCAAACTAGATTAGTCTCTTCTATGAGTCAAACAACTTTTTATTTCTTCAAAACCAGGACTGATTGAGAAGACAAGCAACAAAAATTACAACAGCTGCTAGGCAGCATGCTCTACTACATGAGGCCAAAATAGACATATGAAATGACAAACCTCTAAATAGACTGGGTCCTTATCAAAGAAGCTAATCAAACTTGACCCAGCAACACGATTCCAGATTACCATACAAAAAATTCCAACTGTGCACCACTAGGAAAACTTAGCTTAAGCATTTATTGAGTAGATTTGGCTATGCCAGGAAGTTACCTGTATCCTAAAACTATCCTACTGGGGTAGAGTCGTTCATCCTGGTATGAATGGAGCCCATAGGGAAGACAGCTTATGTGTAGCCAGCCCAAGCTTAATAAATCATTTTGCTGCTGAGCTTAGAGATACTGTACAGTAAAGAACCAGGACTCAGGCATTTTCAGAAGACACTTTTGGGCTTTTAAAAATGGTACCAAATCAAGAGGCTCCAAAAGCATTATCAACAGCCACAAATTGATCACACTTCTTGGCCTTTTGTCTAAGATCAAGTGTAAAAATACGAATTGCCCTGACCAGTGTGGCTCAGTTGGTTGGGCACCGTCCCACAAACCAAAAGGTTGCCCGTTCAATTCTCAGTCAGGGCACACGCCTGGGTTGCAGGTTTGGTCCCCGCACCCACACAAACAGATATTTCTCTCTCACATCAATGTTTCTCTCCCTTTTCTTCTCCTTCCCTTCCCATTGCACCAAGATAAAAAATAAAAATAACTTTTTTTAAAAAGTCACAAACTAAGAGTCTTTAAGACCAGCATCAATAGAACACTGTGAACAAATTAAGGCCTAAGTCACCATCCAAGCTGTGCCAGGCTGACCACTTATAGCATTTGGTGTTACTACTCAGTGACGTCCAGTGAGGTGTTGATCCCCCAAAAATGTGGTTTCTAACCTAGATTGGTAAGTCCTCTTAAGCAGGGCATTTCAAACCTGCCTGCCCACCAGAACGCTTGGGGAAGTGCTATTTTAAGATAGATAAAACACATTCATCCAAATGAGTATCTGAGTGCCCAGTATGTGTCAGGCACTGTCCTAGATATTAGGAAAACAGCTACCTTCACAGAACTGGAATTCTAATGGAATGAAAAAAAAATTTTTTTAAACTTAAGCAGTATGAAAGGGTAAAGTATGTTTCCTTCCCACCCTAACCATCCAGGGACCAACTCAGACTTCATGGATCAAGCTCCACGGGTGGGGTCCAGGAGTCTGTATTTTTCAGGAGCTACCAGGGTGACTCTGATGCTGCCAGCCTCGTGCTGCACTGAGGTTTTCAAGCCCGTGTGGCTCCCTACTCCAACCAGTTGAAACGTTTCTATAGAAAAGGTGCCCTTGTATGAAACCTGGCCTTAATATAGTCATCACTGCTGCTGCTTCTTTTTTTTTTTCCCCCAATAATGACCTGGAGCCTTTCTGCAAATCAAGACAAGATCACTGACAACAAAGGGCTGGAAAATAACCAGTCCCATCAGCACTGAAGCAACAATTGCCCACCTTTGCAAGGACGGGAGATGTCCCTGCACACGCTGAACAGCTGTAGGTCACCCAAATGGTGCTCACCAAGGCATGGTGATCACCAAGGCATGGTAATCAAAGGCCAGGGAAGCAGGACAAGGAAAAAGAGCCCTACAGTGAAAGCCCTAAACAGTGTGACAACACTGCGGATGGCAGAGAAAGCACAGCAGCTGACAGACAAGCCTGGCTTGGAGCTATAACGGACTTGCTCTTTTAAAGCAAAGACATTCAGGCCAACAGAGACAGACCCTTCTGATGGCAGCAGCTGCAGATGCTAATTAATGGGCAAGTCTTCCATCTTTCTCTGTTGGTGTTTGCATCTACATCCGCAAGTACTGAGATGGCAATTTCCATCCATTGTGTTGCATTTGAGACCACAGGTGTATGTACGTGTATGTATGCACACATATGCACACACATATAACTGCACACTTGCATGCACATGTATACATATGTGGGGGTGTATGAATATTTAATAGTTTTTTAGAACTCTATTCCTATTTATTTGCCTAGGGTGTCATTAGAAGCACGCTGTGCTGGCCACCACTCAGATGTGCTGTCCTTGAAATGCTTGCAGTATAATCAGCATGACTGAAAGTGCCATGAAAATATAATGATGCTACTGGCATCACTCTCTGCTCTGCCCAGTGTTCCTGGTCTTTGGCATGAGGGAGGAAGGAAGGGATCCTGTAAGCAAAGTGGTCCCTGGCAGAGACCCTAAATTATTCTTCTTGAAGGGCAAGATGACCAAGAGAAAAAGAGAGGAGGCCTTTCATTTCAGAAACTATGAATCCCAGCCTGATTCATCCATGAATTCAAAAAAAATCCTCATTGAGCACTGAATCATCTAGAGTCTTGGCCAGAAACAGAGCACACTCCAACTAGGTAACTGAGGGCATGAATTAAGGAAGGGGCTATTTACAAAGGTGTGGGCAAGGTTACAGGAAATAAACATGGGATGGCGAAGCACCCTATGGCTACTTAACAGCAGTGAAGTGAGTAGGTACCATTCCTTGGCCTAAAAGATCCAGAAAAGGGATCTCAGATGTGTACACTATTACTGAAAGAGTGAAAGGAAGACGCAGTAACCAGAAACTAACTATAGCTATAACAATAGCTATGAGATCATGGTTCTCAAAGTGGGGTCCAACAGCAGCAGCCTCACTTGGGAACTGGTTGCAAATGCAAGTTCTCGGGCCTCACCCCCGACCTACTGAATCAGAAACTTCGATGGTTGGGTCAGGCAAACTGGGACAAGGTAACTAAGCAGTGATGTCTAAAACGGTAAAATTCTAAATTCGCTCACTTGAAATATGCCTCAAAAGACCAGGACACAAAACTATTTCAAAGGCATGAAGCACTCACAGAGCTCCCTAAGGCAATAACATACTCAGCAATTGAATGGAGGTCCATAAAAGGTATTAATATCTCATTCCGCCAATGAGAATATTGAAGCTGAAAAGACCAATGACTCCAGAAAGACCAAATAAG